TTTCTTTCTTTCTTTCTTTCTTTCTTTCTTTCTTTCTTTCTTTCTTTTAAATATGTTTTTATTGAGTTTCCTTTGTTACATAATTTCAACAGCATTCTTGACATCTATACAGGTTCTCAACTTAAGTATCTTAACACATTATATTACATTTGTCTAATATTGGATAATAACTAACTATAATTATTCTTATATTCTTGTATAATTTATAGATTTACATTTTACTCTCTGAAGGATTATTACGATTAGATTCCTGGTCTTATTTCTTAGTTCTGTTCGTTAACCATTCGTGCCATTTATTCCAAATGAAGAAAAACCCATAGTCGTCTTTCTTTCAATTTCAACGTTAACAGATTCATTTCAGCACTTCCCGTTACTTTATGTATTATTAATTCTTCATTAGGGACATTGGGGTTTTTTCCATACTTGTGCAAAGGCTGTTTATACCTGGCCAATTTTCTGCCTTCGCTGGAGATGGCTCTCTTGGAATGGAAGGCTGGGCTGCTGCCTCCTCCTCCTCTTCCTCCTCCTTAGATCAGCATCTGGGTTTTGGTCTGGGAATGCAAGGTGGCTAACCTCTGGCTCTTTCTCTCCATCAAGGATGACGCTTTCTCAAGGAAAGGCAATTCTCTTATGGATATCCGTGCTCGCCCTCTTATCGCTGGCCATTTCCACCTACCTGGTCAGGTAAGAAAGCCAGGCACATTCTTGGCCACCTGAATGTATTGTTCTTGCTCTACCAGCTTCCTTTGGACGGCAACAATTCTGGCAAAGGCTAACCCAGCCCGGCCGTGCCTTATTTCCATCTCCCTTTTAAGGCTGACAGGCTCATCGGGGTTCCCTTCATTTTGAGCACAAGAAGGGAGAGAATCCCCATAATGGTTAGGAAATCAATATGTCCCTTGAACAATGAACACTTCGCTAATGTTGCGACAATCAACCGTACAGATTAAGGAGATGGGAGGGATCTGGAAAAACCATGCCAGGTATCACGTGTGGCAGAAATGGGTGGTTCTTGCGGAGAGAAGCACACGGAGGAAGTGTGGCCCCAAAAGTCTTTACGCGGAAACTCGGCCTGTTGCGCCATCAGCACAGCTTTCTGGGGTGATCAGACCTGTGTCTGTTTGGCATGTCGCATTTCAACCTCTGAGAGCTGCACCTGAAAGGTTGGAGAAAGCTCCACGTGCACCGCCTACTTTCAGTGTGAAATCTCACACACTCCTGAACGCTTCAGGATGCAGCCTATTCCCTCTGATCACATGTGTCCAGGGGTGGGATTCAAATTTTTTAGCGTGGGGTGGCACAGCTTCCTCCCGCGAAGCAGTAAGACAGCGAAGGGGATCCCAGCACAGCTGATCGTCGGAACAGCTGATCGTTGGGAAGGGGGGGAAAAAGGAAATACCTTAAGGAGTGACTGGGCGGGAGAGAATGCAGTCAGCGATGTCGGGCAGGGGCGTAATGTTGTCCATGCGTGATAAGGACTGACTGGGCGGAGAGGGGCGGGGACACAATTTGCCGATTCTCCAAAATCATAACGCAGAATCATAACAACCGGTTCTATAGAACCGGTCTGAACCGGTAGAATACCACCCCCTGCGTGTGTGCCATATTGGAATGGAGGAAGGACGAGAAGTTGCTTTCGTCTGCCAAATTTAAAGGCGGTCCGATTGCAGCTTTCCGATTATCCAACTCCTTAAATCAAAGACCGCCCTCTCCAGGTCAGCCGAAGGGGTTGCAGACCTAACGGGCCTGTCCAGCAAGGAACTGAACTCCTTGGAGAAGACTATTGGAGGAAGGGAAGGTCGGCGGGGGTCTGTGCAAATAGAGCGGTTGCCCGACAACCTCAGGGCTGCTTTCTCTCCGGCTGTTTGGTCTCCTTCAGGCTTGTCCCGAGATCACCCAGATGTTTTGGACTAGAGTTCCCGGGCGGTTCTGAGCCAAGCACCATGTCAGGTTGGAGTTCTGGAGGCTCCAGGTTTCCGGAGCGAGAGCTTCCAATCCCCACCTGGGGGCGGAGACAGCCAGGTGTTTCTGCAGAACACACGTTCTGCCCATGCCAAGCCAAGTAATGAGAAGTGATGGACGGCTGGTGTTTACCTGGCCGTTACAGGCAGATGACCTTGAGATAGTCAGAAGGTGTGTTTGTTTTCTTTTCAACAGGGATGAGAAAGGGACCTTGATGGACAGCACCAGCGCCGAGTAAGTCTCCTGCTGCGGTTACTTTTGCTGGCTCCAGTCCGTTTGTGACACTTCACACCACCCAAAATGAGTCACGGCTCACCTGGCAATGCCCGCCGGGCAGAATAAGGGTGTTTTTACCCACCCCCACAGGCTTTAGGAATCGAGGTGCTATTGACACAATCTCACCACACGGGCGTGGCCTTTCTTGCAACTGCCCTCCGGTGCCAATGGGCGTTCGACTCATTTCCTCTTCCCTCTTTGCGAAAGGGGCAGGATTGGGCTGCTGCCCGGGACTCGTTGAGCCCCTCCAAAGACTGACAGCCGGCTGAGCTTCTCAGCCCCCTGAAGTAGCCCCGTGCAGATGAGCAGGGGCTCTGGGAATGCCAGGGACACGGGGGCGACCGGAAAGCGGGCAGGGCAAACTATGTCACATTTCATGCTCTCACTGAGCGCTTTCAAAACAGCTGTTAATCTTCTTCTGCTTCGATTGCCGCTGCGGCTGCTGCGTCAGCCTCCTGTTGCTGGCATGTGGGCCCAGGCATTGCTACAGCCAGTGACTAGCAGACCCAGTTCCCCTTTCCTGGACATCCTCCCTCCTTGAGAGTGGAAGCGGAGGCGGCCGATGGCCAACTGCCTCTTATTTGCCTCTGGTGTAGCCGTTAACCCCTCTTCCACTCCCAGAGGGACTGGTGACTTTTGCACACAGCTGACAAAGCGCTGTGGGGCTTTGCACAATTAGGAAAGAAAAACCACCCAAGCCACCTTTCTCAACAGTGGGCTTTCCCGCTTGCAAAACGGGCCCCGTGGGGAGCGCCAACCAATGCAACTGACAAAGGACCGACCCAGCAGCCCAAGAGGCCTCCAAACTTGGCCAACTTGAAGACTCGTGGACTTCAACTCCCAGAATTCCTCCTCCAGTCATGTCAGCTCGGGAATCCTGGGAGCTGAAGTCCACAAGTTGCCAAGTTTGGGGGGCCTCTGCAGTAGCATAAGCTCGATGGCGGCATTCTTCCTGCAGCATGACAGCAGAGTGCGGCTCCCCGAGCAAAGTCAGCCTGGTGGGTGGGTGGGGGATCCACCCCTTGTCCTGCCAAGCCAGGCCCACCCCCCAATCTTGCTGAGGTCCACTCCGCCCCCCTCTCCCCCCAGCACAGGGGCCCTAACTCTTGCCCAGCAGAGGAGTCCAACAGACACCTCCCCCCCTGCCCACCCCCGGGTAGTAGCCACGCCAGATTCCAGCCTCCCCTGCGGTATTATTCGACTCCTGGCGCCACCTTGCAACGTGCCCAAATGGTTTCCTTAGAAATCATTCCCTTTGGCGTGGTGAAGAATAAGAAAATGTGCCTGTAAGGAACTGGAGCCAAAAGAGGGTGGGAAAAAAAAAAAAGCGTTACCTTTGACTGGATAGAAAGCCGACAGACCAGAAAGGGGAAAACAATGACTTCAAAAGGAGAGGGGTGCCTTTGTTTGCTTTTGCTAAAAGGAAAGTTGGCTGCCTGAGTGACAGCCGATGATGGTGACAGGATAGACTTGGCCTCTCCCTGGTTCAGTTTTCTAGCAAAGAGAAACACCTGAACGACAGCTTTTTGCAGCAAGCTGTGGGTGGGAGGGGGCAGTGACGGCGGAGATTTTTGGTTTTTTTTTTTCAATCCTCCACGTCTTGGTTGTCCCAAAAGGGCTTTCCCAAAAGGACAGCACGAGACCCGAAGAAGCTTCTTGGATGAGAAGCGAAACATTTCCAAGGAAAGGGGAAAAAAAAAAAAAACCCAAGAAAGCCCCGTTGCCTTTTTGAACAGCACCTTCCGATTCCTTTCTCCTCTGTTGCAGAGGTGAGCTTCCGACCGAAGAACCGAAAGAGTTGCCGCTGAGCAGCTGGTTTCACCCAAGGTAAGAAGCCTGTTTGGGCTTGAAAGGGAGACGGGGCGGCCTTCCTCCAAGCTTCCTCCTTTCCTGTCCTAGTCAAAGGTTCTTGAGATATGACGAGGGCTTTTTAACCCACAATGAGAAGCTTCTTGGCAGAGGAGACGCTCCGAGGCCCAGAATCCCCAAAGGAACAAAGGGGGCAGCGTCTCTGCGTCTCTCCGGCAGGGCAAAACCCCGACGCAGCTTCTCACTCCTGCAAAACCAGAGCGGAAGGCTACCAGTTAAGCCAGCAGCACAGGAGGGTCTCCTGGCCAAAAAAAAAAAGAGAAACAACCCACCTGGCTTCCTTCCTTCCAAGTGTCAGTTTGCAGGGCGGCTGGCTCAGCCGGAAGGGGCAACCGGCGCTCAGCTTGGAAGCCGCCCCGGCCTGCCTCGCCCGGAGAAAGAAGCCCAGCTGGCTGGAAATAGCCGGCGAAAATGAAAACGCGGGAAAAGGAAGCCGGGGAAAGGCTTTAAATTAAATCCAGAGGAGGAGGTTGTTTCCCAAACATCTGGCTCCTATCAGCATGCTGAAAGGCACCAATTTTCCCCACTTCCTGACGCTCCCTGGCAAACATTTTAACGTGAGGTTGGAGAGCTTCAGCCAAGTCCCCCCCCCCCCACAGCCTTCCTTCGGTCTGGGATTTCTAACCGTGTCTCCAGTAGGGAAGAATGGGGGTGCCTACTGCCCCCCTCATACGCATTTTGGAAGTGTGAGGGTTGGGGCTGGGTGAGAGTCAGCTCATCCAAAGGGCGGCTGAGACGACCAGGGAGCGACGCTCATCTGTGTTTTTCTCTTTCTGCCCCCGGCAGCGCACGGACAGAGGTCTCCACCATGAGCCTGTGGTCAGCCCCCATCGTGTGGGATGGGACGTTCGAAAGAGACATCCTCAACTCGCACTACAAGCGGCGGAAAGTCACCGTGGGGCTGACCGTTTTCGCCATTGGGAAGTAAGTGCCTGGTCCGGCCGCTTTCGCTAAGAAAGGGCCGCTGAGGAGGAGGAGGAGGAGGAGGAGGCCAGAAAAACCCATCCAAGAGCTTCAGCCCTGCTGGCTGGGCTGGGCTGGCTAGAACCTGCCCCACCCGGAGAAGCCCCCTCATCCCAGCCGCCTTTGCTTTCCCCTTCCAGGTACCTGGACAAATACCTGAAGGACTTCTTGGTTTCCGCCAACACCTTCTTCATGGCGGGCCACCAGGTCATCTTCTACATCATGGTCGATGACCTGCTCAGAGTGCCCAAGGTCAAACTGGACCCTCAGCGGACGCTGAAGCTTATCTCGGTCAAGCAGGAGAACCGCTGGCAAGACATCAGCATGATGCGCATGAAGACCATCGGGGACCTGATCGAGCAGCGCATCCGCTTCGAGGTGGACTTCCTCTTCTGCATGGACGTCGACCAGGTCTTCAGGAGCCACTACGGGGTGGAGACCCTCGACACATCCGTGGCTCAGCTCCATGCCTGGTTCTACAAGGCACAGAGGAACCTCTTCACCTACGAGAGGCGCCCCGAGTCAGCCGCGCACATCCCCTACGAAGAGGGGGACTACTACTACCACGGGGCAGTCTTTGGGGGCACCCCGCTGCAGGTGCTGAACCTCACCCGGCAGTGCTACCAAGGCATCCTTCAGGACAAGGACCGGGAGGTGGAGGCCATCTGGCACGACGAGAGCCACCTCAACAAGTACTTCCTGCTCAACAAGCCCACCAAGCTGCTCTCCCCTGAGTACTGCTGGGACTACAATATCGGCCCCCAGCCTCAAATCCACAATGTAAAGTTGTCCTGGATGCCTAAAGAATACCACAACGTCAGAGACAATATTTGACCTGCCCCAACCCCCCCTTGCGTGGACTAGAGCTGGCCTGCAGCCACGGACATTTGAAGGGCCCGGCTGAGCCTCACTCCGTCGCCCCCTGCGGAAGATAAGGAGGGCCAAGCTGGGGCCCCAGAGGGGCTGCAACAGTGAGGAAGAGTCCAGCTGTCCTCTGACCCCTTCGACCCCCTTCGTTTCGCTCCGCATTTGCTCAGCCTCTCTCTCTTTTTCACCCGTGGCGACTTGTGGGGTGAGGTCTTCCTCCTGGCTGAGCTTCTCTCGTTTGGAGAACCCCTTCGCTCAGAGAGAGAACCTAGCTGGGCTTCGTCGACATTTAAACCTCTGTATGCCTTTCACCCCCAGAGCAAGTGAATGTAGACCAAACAGCTCATCCTTTCTTTTAGATCGGACCGTTTTGTCTCAGACTCTTTTGGGTGCTTGGGACTTTTGGCAAGAGTCTTCTCGGGCACACAGAGGCCGTCCCTGGTGGTCCCAAGATTTCACCCCCGCATGGGAGGAGAAGCCAGGGAAGGAAAGGCACCCATCCACAGCAGGCAGGGTGTCCAGAGGAAGCCCCAACAAGGCCCTCTTTTCAGATTCCACCCGATCTCCTTCCGGGAGCCACACAGAGCCAATCTCTCTGCTTTCTCTTCCCTAAAGCTTCGTTTTTCAAAATGGGGCGGTTTTCTTCTTCTTCTTTCCCCCTCCTGGGGATTCAAATATGCACACCGAAGCACCCCAGGTGGGTATTTGTGCCTCTCTGCTGTCCCAATAACAAAGCACACCAAAGTTGGCAGCCTGGACCAAACTGAACAAAAGCCGTCGCTTTTGTCCCTGTGTCGGAACAGCGGACGGAGGAGCACTTTGTCCCTCTTGCCACCTGCCAAGGTGCCCGGCTCACCTTTGTTTGTTGAAACACCTGTCTGCCAGCTCATTTTACAAGCTCATTTGCACGAACTCGGAACCCTGCTACGTGTGTACTTGAGCATGCCATCCCCTGGACTGATGGGGATCCTTCCATCCTTTCCCTTTGGTCGTTTCTTCTCACCCTTGTGGTCCCAAAGATTTTGGCAGACCTGCACGGGGGACGCTGCTGCTCAGGGGCCTGAGTTAAGAGGGGACTCAACAGGCCCCTCTACCTGCAGCCCGAGGGAGCCTCCTCGAGTCCCTCATCTGGAATATTCAGGGGTCCGGTTTCAAAACCGTCTTCATCTTGAAGGTTCAGTCAAGCTCGTGCCTGGCACTAGGTCCCTCTGCCTTGGTTTACCCCACACAAACACACCCGCCATCAACTGAAGAGATTTATGAACTGGTTGTACCTTGTGCAGGTGATAGGCCCGGAAACCTGGCTTGCCTAACTACCTTTAGAAATCGGCACCTTAATTTATTGCCTTGTAAATGACAAAACATTAAAGTCTAATCTTAACTTCGGCTGGTCTTTTGAAGTGGGAATGAGCAGAGAGAATCGTGGCTGGAAATTCCCAGGTCTCACAGCGGGAGGAGGAGGAGGTGTGGGGAGGAGAAGGAGGAGGAAAAAGATGAAGTCGAAGCCCTTTGAGGGGAGGAAGTGAGCTAAAGGGTCTCAGGGAGGACTCTCAGGCACCATTGAGGGGAGGCCCCATACAGGAAGGACAGCAGTTCCTGGCAGAAATACTTCCGTGTCACAATTTTGCAAACTTCCTGAGCTCTACAAGAGGGTTCTGCAACTGACTGACCGGATGTGGGACTCTTAATCCAGGGGGAAGCTCTGGGCCTGAGAGGTGGGGTCCGAGGCCATCTGCGTTTTCTTTTTGCTCAAGGGCCAGACGTCATCCAGAGTTCACTCCGCCCCTTGGAGGAGGAGGAGGAGGAGGAGGAGGAGGAGGAGGAGGAGGAGGTAGCCCCTTTGGCCGCTCTGCATCCACTGACCCAGAAGAGGGGAGCTGAAGGTGCCCAAGAATGCCGGACTCCCAACGTCCAACAGAGGGCTTTGCCAAATGCAGCATAGCTGGTGAAAGGGCTCCACCTTGTGGCGGCCACAGGTCTATGCAGGTCTACCAGCACAGGGGGCTGGGGCACACAGACAAACAGACACACACACACACACACACACACACACACAGAGTGTCAAAGAGTGCGAGGGGCTGTCACTTTCTGGGGAAACGTTCAGCAGCTTATTTATTGATTTACAAAGGGCAGAAGATCCGTTTCCCACCTTGGTCTGGAGAGGACACGGCTCTGCCCCAGCTTCAGAAGGCCGGCCATCACCCCCAGCGCTTTTCAGAGGGCTATTATGGGATGCCCAGGGCCTTGGGCGTTCACAAGGATGGGCTCGCGGCTTGGGATGGGTTCAGGGTCTCTCTATCCCTGATGTTTGGACGTGGCTCTCAAAGCCTTCCCTGCGGGACGTGCTACTCCAGCCCCTTCCGACTCGTGCGTCTTCCTGGAGAATCCCTACCTCCCCCCCTCCTGACTACCTGACACCCCCACCTCCTGCTCGGCTGCAATGACTCGGCCCAGGTGGGAAGAGGATCCAAGAGACGAGAAGAGAGAGGAGGGGGCCGTTCCCCAAGGCTTCTTGTGGACCAAGGGAAACCTGGGGGGTTGCTTTTAAAAGTCAGGGTGCCCCCCCCCCGGTTGGCTGCTGTTCTGGGGCAGGGGGGGGCCGCCAAGTGAGGGTTGAGGGAGGCCCAGGAGAGCCAAGCCAGGCTGCGGTGGCGCAGAGGAAGCCCAGAAAACTTGGCTCTAAGACAGCGGCCCCCCCCAAGTGGCTGAGATGCCCAGAGGAAACACCCCCCCCCACCCCAATTCCTTCTGCAGGGATGCCCCCCCCCTCCAATACGCAGAGGAGAAGGCTCAGCATCCTCTACAATGGCACTCGCTGATGGCTGCGGCAGGCGTGCGGCTGGGCTCACTGGCCAGAGCCATCTAAATCGGGGGGGGGCGGTGGTGATGGCGGTTTGCTTTCTGGCAACACTTGTTGCTTGGTCCACAAGAATCTGAGCATCTGGAAAAAGGGGCAGTCCATCTTCCACTGTCCGAGCCTCCGATCTGCCCCAGGGGCCCCGGTCCTCCCCCCCCCCCCCCGTAGAACCTTTGAGATACACAGGCATGTTTCAGTCCACATCGCCCCAACTCCAGGGTGGGTCAACCTGGGCACTGCTCCTCCGCCGGGACCTCTAGCCGTTCCGCTATGTCCTCCAGTTCCTCCAGGATCTCGGAGAAGGAAGGGCGTTTGAAAGCTTCCATCTGGGGAGGAGGGAGGGGCGGGAAATGGGAGAAAAGGACACGGCAGCTCGCACCCCCAAGCCCCGCCAAAGCCCCCCCCCCCCCCTTCGGAACCTTCTCACTGGAGTGGCAGGCGGTCTCTTTCCCCCAGGAGCCGCCCGAGTAGCCAGAGGCCCCTCTGTCGCTCTGTGCCCCACGCGGGCCTCGCCAAGGGCGTCTTCGTGGACCTACAACTCTAAGGTAGGTGGCTCTGGACACAGAGGCTCTACTACCCAGCCCCCTCAGCTGCTGCCGCCGCCGCCGCCTCCTCCTCTGCAACCTGCAAAGCCGCTGGGGCAAAAGGCCCCCTTTGGAAGGAAGTCCTCACCTTGCAACAGCTGGCAGCCAAATCCAAAACCCGCGTGGGACACCCGTGGATCATGCTGTGGAAGGCGGCCACGTCCAGCCCGTAATCCTGAAGGGAGGAACGGAGGGTTTCAAGAGGGCTTCTGTCATTTCGTAAACACGCCCCCCCCCCCGCCGCCCTCTTGCTTTGCCAATCAGCTCCCCCTCCAACTTGCCTCCCCAGGGATGAAGGAAGCGGGGCGGGGGGGGTGGCGGGGGGGGATTCTACCAGTTCGCACCTATTCGCTAGAACCAGTTGCTAACATTCTAAGCAGTTCTGAGAACCAGTTGTTAGAAGAAATTACAGGGCTAATCCTGTAAGGAAGGCAGGAAGGAAACATTCTGGTGTTGCTTACAGAAACTGCCTCTCCGTTAACCCTTATTACATTCTTGGCAGGACTAGACTTCCTGTTTCAGGAACTTCTCTGGAGTTTTTCCCCCTCCTTTGCTGATACTTTGCTTGGGTGGAGTGGCCATTCAATGTTACAAGGGCACTGAAAAAAGTGATTTATGACCCTTTTTCACACTTACGACTGTTGTAGCATCCCCACAGTCACGAGAGGCCAGGTGAGGAGATGCGCGCCTCGATGTGAGTGATACAGAGTTGGCCATGTCCACCCAGTCACATGACCACCAAGCCATGCCCACCTCCCAAGCCACGCCCACAGAACCGGTTGATAAAAATTTGAATCCCACCCCTGGGGAGGGGAGGGGTTTTTTGGGAAAGCTGCGAATGCCTTTCGAGGGTGCTGGCAGGAAGCGCTCGGTACAGGAAAGGCCCGCCTAACACATTTCGGTCCTGGGAGTCACCTGAGTTCGAGGCAGCACCTCCGGGTCAGCGGGGATCCTGCCCAGGATTTCGCAGAGGACGATGCCAAAGGAGAAGACGTCCACCTGCCGAAGGGAGCCAGGCTCAGCCGCAGGGAAGAGCCCCCTGTCCCCAGTGCCCCGTTCTTCGTCTCCCTGGACATCTCCCAGGCCCAGCTGGCACCCCTGGCGGGGGAGGGAGGGAGGGAGGGAGGCACCTTCTGGTCGTAGCGCTCCCCCCGCAGCATCTCGGGAGCCATCCAGAAGGCTGAGCCCACCAGCGAGAGCTTCCTCTCCGGACTCTTGGCCGACAGCTCCGCCACTTCCTTGGCCAGCCCGAAGTCGGTCACCACCGCCTCCCTCCCTCGTTGGGTCACTCGGATGAGGCAGTTCTGAAAAAACAGGTGGGCGGCCCCTTCAAGGCCCCTGGGAGTTCTGAATTGGGGGGGGACGCTGTGACCGGATTGACCCCCTAGAGCAGGAAACCACCTCTTGGGACTGTCCTAGCATCACAGAGGCCTTTTCCCTCTTGGACGGACGCTGGTCTTGGACCAACGACCAGCCCCAAACGAGGAAAACAACGCCAACACCCCAGAACAGCCTTCAATGAGGATTTTAGGGAACCTCGCTAAGGTAGAAGCCAAAGGACCCTTCCTCCTCTATTCCTGGGATTCGGCAGGCTGCCCCTGAACAGGGAGGCTCCTTTGGCCAAGACAAACTAAGGCGCAGGCTGTCCCCTACTCACTCCTCGGATGGCCTCAGGGGGGCCCTCCCCTCCCTCCACAGTTCTGCCGATCTTGAGATGTTCAGGAAAGAGGCTGAACTGAAAAGCTCACCTTGGAGTTGAGGTCGCGGTGGTAGATGTTCTTGGAGTGGAGGTAGACCATCCCGCGGGTGATGTCCGAGGCCAAGCCCACTTTCTCCTTCCAGCTGAGCGGGGCATCTTTGCAGGCCAACAGCTCCTCCAGGCACCCGCCGTTCACGTACTGTGGGCAGCCCAGAAGGGAAGGAGGGGGCCTTTGAGTCGCCTCCCACGGAGGCTGGGATGGAGGCGAACGCTGCCCGTCAGCCGGGATCCCCACCATCCTCAACCGGCCGAGGAGGATGGGAGCTGGAGCCCAACCCGCCTGGCAAATGTCCCCTTGGGGGAAGGCCGGAAGGAACCTTGCAGAGGGAAACTAGAACCTTCTTCTATGGGCTTCTCTATTTCTACGTGCAGGATTTACTACATTGGGAATTCCTTTGTTTTTAATTTTAACGCGGAGATGCAGGCTCGTTCGTTTACACCCTTAGCAACCTCAGCCCTAAAGCGCAAAGGAGCGTGGTCCAGAAGGAGCTATATCAGCCCCCCGCTCCAACTCCCCACTTTGGGGGGGGCATGAGGCCAATTGCAAGCCAGATAGACAGGTGGCAATGGTTTATCAAATGAATGTGTTGCTGCAGGATTCTTGGAGGCTCACAAGAAGGCCACAAAACGACACAGCACCAGAATAAAAGGGACAGGAGTCTAAAGGCAACATGACAGGCCACAGAAGCCCTCCGGAGAAGCTTCGGGACAAATTTCCCACCACTGAAAACCTCGGCTTCCTGTCCGGCACCAACATCGAGGGGTCCTTCCTTTAAAAGGCAGCCTAGCCTGGATGACTGACGGCTGCTGTTTTGGGGGGGGGGGGCGGGGGAAGATCCTCCCCTCTTACCTCCAGAATGGGGTACAGCTTGTCATCCTTCACGCAGATCCCGAGGTACCTTACACACAAGGAAAGATTGCGGGGGTTAGGGCGAGGGCCTTCCTTCCCAGAGAGGTCGAGCGACCCGGTGGGAGAGGATGGTTAAAGGACCCCACTGAGACCTACCTGACGATGTTGGGGTGGGAGAGTTTTTGCAGCAAGCTGATCTCCCTCACAATCCCCTCCTGGTCAGCATCGTTCTTGTAAATCTTGACCACCATGGCCTTTCCCCCAGGACGGGGAACAACCTGCCAGAAGCCAGAAGTTGCGTTAACAAGAGGGATACAATCGAGATCAAGGGAGGTGCGAAGACCACTCTATCAAGCCTTAGCAAGACCACACCTTGAGTACTGCATCCAGTTTTGGTCACCACAATGTAAAAAAGATGTCGAGACTCTGGAAAAAAGTGCAGAGAAGAGCAACCAGGATGATTAGGGAACTGGAGACCAAAACATACGAAGAACGGTTGCAGGAACTGGGCATGGCTAGTTTAGGGAAGAAAAGGACCAGGGGAGACAGGATAGCGGTCTTCCAATATTTGAGGGGCTGCCACAGAGAGGAGGAAGGGGTCAAGCTATTTTCCAAAGCACCTGAAAGCCAGACAATAGCGGATGGAAACTGAACAAGGAGAGATTCAACCTGGAAATAAGGAGAAACTTTCTGACAGGGAAAAGCAATCAAGCAACGGAACAGCGGAAGTGGTGGGAGCGCCATCACTTGAGACTTTCAAGAAGAGACTGGACTGCCCTTGGTCAGGAATGGGGCAGGGTCTTCTGGGGCAGGGGATCCCTCCGGCTAACTAAGTTCCTCTTTGAAGCGGGACTCCTGCGGGAAGCTGCATTTGCAGCCCGAAAACGGAAGGACGGGAGGCAGGCGTAGAACGGGCTCAAACGTACTTCTGTGGTTTTATCTTGCAGCCTTTCTCAGACTAGGGACTAGCGAGCAGCTTGCAAGGATTAAAACCCAAGAAGCTCAAACTATTCCTCATCCCAAGCCGGCCGTCTTCCGTGTGGGCGGGTCACCTCTCCCATCGTTCCCAGCCCAGATGGCAAATGAGGAGGGCGGAGGCCCAATACGTTTAGCGCCGGGGAAGGCTTGGCGCAGTTGCGAGTGGACCAGCCATGCGTGGGAAGCAAGCTAAGTGCGCTTCTGGGGCGCAAAGGGGAAAAAAAAACGTTAAAGCTGTTTTTCCTTTCTAGCACGCAGCCGTGGGAGTATTTTATGAAGCTATGAGTAATCTGGAGGAGGGGGGGGGGCGGGAGGGGAGAGCGATCCTTTTATTGAAGCCGTGATCACAGGCAACCTTTGAAAAGGATTCGGAGGGACGTTTTAAAGGTTCCTCGGTTGTAAAGTCTTTTAATTGACTGACAGCCTCATTTAGCCTCTTCTCGGGCAGTTGGAGGCTCTCTCTCCACCCCAGATGTCCTGTTTAGGGGCCAGATGGATGTTGGCAGCCCAGCTCCAAAGCCATTTCTCGGGAATCGGGAATGAGGAAAAGGAGACTTGGCCAACAGCTAAGCCAGGCGAGGTGCCAGCTGGGTTACAGCAGCCTTTCTTTGATGGTTTCCCCAATAAAAATGCTTTCAAGGCTGCTCATTAGTTCTCTGCCTTCCTTCCTCTCTTCCAGGCGGGGAAGTAGCAGGCAGGGCTGCCCTCCTCAAGTCACCCAGATTGACGGAGGAAAAGGTTAATGACGGACGGACGGACGCGGTCAGGCGCTCCACGAGCCATGAAAAGCTTTGCCTGTGCGTGGCACAAATGAGGGCGCCTGCTTTGCCCGGGAAGGGGACGTAACGCGTCGGGGAAGGGGGCCTGGAACGAAGAAGAGCCGGTGGGGTGTGTGTGTGAAGCAGGGGACGTGCAGACGGGATCAGCTGTCTCCAAGGGCAGGATCCGAGTTTCAACTCTGGCTTTCAAAAGAAGGTTTTGCTGGCTTTGGAAAACGGACGCCTCAATTTGCTTCCCGGCGCAAATGGCCCAAGCAATCCAAGGGGCATCGCCTCTTGCACCCGGGATGCAAGAATTGGGAGAGGGTCAGCCTCGGGGTGCCGAACAGGAACCCCCCCCCCCCAAGGCTTTGGATAGGGATCCTTGAACTCCAAGCAGCCTTTGTTGTGCCCCAACCTGGCACAAGGTGCCTCGGCTGCCAGATAAGGAGGAAAAAGCGCCGCCCAGCAGTGGCAGGCCCTGGCTCGGTCCTGATACCGTTCTCCCTCGCTTCTAGAAAGCCCCACAAGGTCATCCAGTCCAACCGCAGCAAACCACCTCGGCTAGCAAAGGTAAAATCCTTCCGCAGGAATCCCGCAGACTGGGAGTCAGGGACATGAAGGCTTGGAAGAACAAAGGACTGTTGGCAAATGAACAGGCGCCAAGAGACAGGGGTGAGGATGAGCAGGGGAAGAGGATAGAAGGGAGCCAGCCTCCGCTGCCAGGGGTACGGGACCCTCGGAAGGAAGCGAAGGTGCTTTGAGAAGAGGGGTGTTCTTAATGCAGGCGGAAAGCGTCTCGTTCTAAAGGCTCATCTCCCTTTAGAGAAACACCGGCTCTTGGTTGTGCGCATCTTGGATCAAGTCCCATCGCACGAGGGACTCCTGCCTCTTATGTTTTCCATCAGGAAAAAAAATAAAAATAAAAAGGCAGCTGCCTTCTCTCTCTTCCCCCTGATCTGTCCTGGCACGGAGAATGCCAACCCCTAAGACAAAACGTTCCTTCTCTCGTCTTGGTCTTGAAACCACCTTGGAAACTGGCTGATCTTTCGCTCAAAAGGCAGTGGCCCCAGCTGGGCTTCCCCGGTTCTTCCCGGTCCCCTGTTTTCATAGCGAGACCAGACCATTCAGCTGGTTCTGACCAGTTCCGGAGAATCCACCAGCAGAAATGTTGAGTAGCTTGGAGAACTGGCAAATGCCACTTCTGACTGACTCTATTCTCTCCCTCCCATCGAGTCCCAGGCTAATCGGCTGGGTCTTCTTGAGTTGCCCTGCATAGGAGAACAGAGCTGGAAAGCAGGTTGGTGGGGTGGGGGGGGAAGGGGGATTTTACAGTATGTTTCCCCTGCCATGCCACGCCCACAGAACCGGTAGTAAAAAAAATATATATATATTGAATCCCACCACTGCTGGAGACGATGCGCTCTGCACACTCTCCTGGGCTAATCTGATTGTCCCTGCGCCCGGAATCAGCCGGCTACGGAGGGTCAGTGTGGATGCCTAGAACATTCCTCCCGTTCCATCTAAGAGATGTAGCCTGCCTCCTTCTGGATGGGCTGGGACTTCTGTCCCCCCCAATTCCCCCATCCTCCCAAGGGGCGGGCAACCTGCTGGGTGGGCTAGCTCAACAGGTGACGCCCTGCCGTACCTTGAAGACTTTGGAGAAGAAGCCGCTGCCTATCAGCTCCACTTCAAAGGTTTCCCAGAATTCCAGCTTCCGGACCGCCGTGCGCAGCTTCTGCCACCGCTCATCCTCTGGGCAATAAGCGTCCGGCGTCTCCTCGCAGCAGGGGGTCGAGCCAGGCAAATCCGTGGACGCCAGAGCCACCTTGTGCATGGTAAAGGCAGGCCCTGCGGAGAGGGAAGGAGGGGAGGTTTTGTGCCTCAGGAAAGGCCCTTCCCAGGCCAGGCGCTCGTCTCCATTTCACAGCTAGCCAGGTTTACCGACGAAGACTCATACCAAACTGGGAGCTCCGGTGAGTGGAAGAGGAGGAAGCGCTGGGAGGCGCTGGGGCCAAGTGGTTTGCCAGCTAAAGGCCTTTCTAGCCCCCGCCTGCCCTGAGCACAGACGCTCTCAGATCGAGTAGGAGCTGCGCTGGTATTTAAGTGGGTACTCCAGAGCCCTCTGGGACTCCCCCCTGGCTGCTCAGGCCTCTTCCTTCCCCCTCTCCGGCTGGGCTGAGTCTCCCAGGTGCTGAATTCATGGGCGTGGGGCGTCACAGGACCCCTGTCCAGCCCTGGGTCCGTGCCTTACATTCTTGGCCTTTCCCACGTAGGGTTGGTTGGGGCAGCCCCTCCGCGAACGTTTCGTGCAGCAGGCCCTCCCTCCTGGCATCGGAGGCAGAACTGCCAACACCCCAACACCCCCATACCGGGCGTGGTATGACCAGGGGGGGAGCAGCACCTTTTGAACTCGCTGCAGAGACCCAGATGGGAGAAGAAAACCCCTTTCTGGAGACGGATTTTACTACTTGGCGGTTCTGGCCTCTTCTCTTTAAGACGCAGACGGCTAGCAAAATGGGCCCATTGTCCGTCCGACAAAAACAGGCCCGTTGAGCAGGGGGGGCGGGGGGGGGGGGAATGGCTGCAGCCTCCAGTTTCCCAGGCTGAAGACAACAACGCAGCAGGAATGCACTTGTGGCTACTCGGGGAACTGAAAGAAAGACCCACATGCCTTGGCTTCCCGCTTTGCAAATTCTAGCACGGACCTGGCTCCCCTCCTCCGTTTCCTTCCCCACCCCCCCACCCCAGTTCCTTTCTTTGCAATGGGTTTTTTTTTTTTGCAGAGGCCTGCCCTCAATTCTCTGCTTCCAAACCTGTAATCTGATCCCTGGCCCCAAATCCAGCTGCTCGGGAGACGAACGTTGCACTACACAGGGAAACCAGAGTTTGTGTTCTGGTACGCGCGAGCCCTTACCTCAAACCGACCAATCCGGCATAATTTCCGATAAGTTTGCCTTTTTTGAGGTTCCAGGCCATCATTGAAGGCCTTCAGCTTGATTTTGGGGGCGGGGTGTGTGCCGCTAATTGGGGGACGTTTTGAGTTAAAGCACGGAAGAGGCTGGCGCACAGAAAAACACCAGCCTCGCTTTGAAAAGTCGGAAAAGACAAAAATGAATGAAAAGTAAACAAGAACGCAGCTGTTGATGTTGTTTGCAAGCGTGCCAGTTTCAGTCTTCTAAAGTGGACCGTCTCGCTGGACCCAAGAATCTGACTCGTGATGACCGCGGGAGCCGGCATGCTATGTCTTAGGCCCGCTCTGGAAAGGACACCACAGCCGCGGCTCTGTGGCGCGATGCAGGTGCCGAGGCCCAGGCGGTTGGAGGGTAGGGGAGGCCTGTCTGCAGGCCGCACTGGGTTTTTCTTTGAGGGGTCCTTGGTGCTTCCTGAACTTGGCTGTTTTCTTGCAGACATTTCATGACCCAACCAGTGCTCGAAGGGGCATTTGCGGCAAACCCCGCTGGCACTGATTACCTACTTTGGGTCGTGAAGCATCTTGCAAGAAAACAACCCAGCTCAGAGAGCACCAAGGCCCCCCTCCGTTCAACCCTGAGCTGCAAATATTCTGCTTTATTGACTCTCCTTTCCTTGAATTACAGGGACCTGGTCTGGAGAGAGAGAGAGAGAGAGAGAGAGAGAAAGCGAGCAGCTGGATGCAGTGTCTCCAGACCTATTCCTGCTCACCAGCCGGGATTGCGTGCTTGTCACAATCTCTTCCCACCCTCCACTGCAGATCTCACTGAGAGCGAAAGCAGAGCTGGCGCAGATGCCCAGAGCCCTGCAGTGGTAGATCAATGCCAGTTCCATTAGGCAGAAACGGCTGACGGGGCATTTCTGGCAGGGTCAGGCATGGTCTGCTCGACAGAGCTACTGGAAAACTCAGCTGCTAGAATTGGGGGTGGAGGGGGGAAAGAGTTTTAAGAGCCTTTTGTTCCCAGGCAATTTCTGGAATCTGTAGAGGAGACGGTGGCCCGTTGCTAGGAAACAGTGGCCGTTCCTGCCCAGGGTTGACTCTTATTCTGGATCGAGGAAGGGTTAGGAAGGGATCCCAGAGGCTATCAAATCTGGCCCTCCGAGGAGAAGGCCAGGATGCTCAGCCACACGGAGACCCATGGGACTCTACCTCAAGGAGAAGGACCAAGCAGGAAAGCATCTACAGCCCAGTTGCAGACAACTCACACAAATCAGCCAAGCCGTATTCCCGGGCAAGCGTCCGGCTCCGAATCTTTATACCAGTCCTGCTCAACCCAGAGATGTTCAGTTGCATTTCCAACGGTGCATTTCCTCCCTAAATCCTCAATCTCCCCATTCACTGCTCCATCCCCCCAAATCCAGTCTGTTGACTCCAAAGCACGAGACAGGCCCCCTAACTCTCTGAACGCAGGCTAACCCTGCATTCCTGCCACCGATCCCCAGATGGGAGACGCTTGGCGAGGTGTTTTTCCTTCTCAATCCACACCAGCTTCAGCGCCTGGCCAGCCGAACAAGACCTGGCGAACACAAAAAGCCTGCCTCAACCTGACAAGTCAAGCGCCCGGCCCCACCTGGGCTGGTACTCACCAAGCAACGATTTAGGTCAAAGGATGTGGAGCTTATGGAGTCTTCGTCGGTCTAAGCCAACAGCAAAAACTACAGAAGAAGACAAAGCATCTGGAGAGGTTTTTTTTGGGGGGGGGGGGGGGGGGGGAAAGGCGGGTTTAACCAAGAACTTTGGTTAAGTCAGGCCGAGGGTAATTATAGCTTAGGAAGCAGCACCAACGTGGCACCAACGTTTCCTGCCTTAGAAGACACAGGAAGGGAAGAATTCGCCCTCTTCCTTCCTAGGGAGAAGAGGGGGCCAAGCGGGTCTCCCCCTCCCCAAAATTTCTCAGGGTTGCCCCAATGAAAAGTGGGTAGCCACAACTCCCTCCTGGCAGAAACTCAATGCTCACTTTCTGGGGGGAGGCTTTTGGGGCTCAGGTGGGGCACCTGACCGGGCAAGATCTTGCTTTTAATCCCCGGCCTCTCCTGGAGGTTAAAGCGGGCGTTGCGGAGGGAGGGAGGGAGGGAGGGAGGGAGCCGGGCATCTCCTGCCAGTCAAATAAACAAATAAAACTGCACCCGATGGATCAACATATTTATCGCCTGTGGCTCCCGGTCCTTCTGTTCTTTCTTTCTTTCTTTCTTTCTTTCTTTCTTTCTTTCTTTCTTTCTTTCTTTCTTTCTTTCTTTTAACCTCCTCGAGAGGCTGCTGCGGACAAGAGCCGCCCATGCGAGCAGCCCCCCTTCAAAGCTGCTTTTTGGTCTGCCACCCTCGGCCGGGGAGGGACGAGGGGGGGCGGGTTGTGGGGAGGGGGCCCTGAGCGATGCCCAGCCTGGGAGGCTCCTTCGGGGGGCCTTTGGGTGGGGGGGGGACACTCTCAAGAGGGGGAGACCCCAGACCAGAGGATGGACGGGAGGCGGAGGGGGGGGAGGGGGGGGGGGAAGCGGCGCTACCTGCTGTCCCGGGGCAGCCGCGGAAGGAAGGACGGCGGGGCATTTTTTGCAAGGGATGCCAAAGGTGGCCAAGGGCCGCTCCAGTCCGGGCAGGGGTTCTCGACTCTCCCCCGGGCTCCCTTCCACCTGTCCCGGGAGCGGCAGGCCGGGGAAGGCGTCCCGGGACTCGGCTTCCCCCCACCGTACCGGGGCAGGACCGGCGGGGGGGGGGTCCCTCACCTGCCAGGGTCGCTCCACGCCTCCTTCTCCTTCTCCTCTGCCACCGCCGCCGCCGCCTCCGTGCAGAGCCGCGGGGCGCTCAGACGACGCTCCGCTCCCGCCTCCGCCTCGGCCCGGCGCCACCCAGCGAGCGGGCGGGGAAGGGAGGCCGCCGAGACACAACCCCCCCCCTCCACCCCCGGCCGCGCATTATGGGCAGGGGGCGCCCGGCGGGACCCCGGACCGCCACCCCCGCCACCTCCTGTGTTGCATGGGGCGGGCGGGGAGGCCGCCACGGCTGGGATAGCGAGTCTGGGGGAGGGGGGGGTCTTGACTGGCAGCGCTTCCGAGGGCCCGTCCGACCTCTGAGCATGTGCAAAGGGCGCTCGCCTGGGGAGGGGAGGACTGTGGGGAGGAACCGGTGCGGGGGGGGGGATGCTCAGAGACGAAGAGGCCGGGCAGGGGGCTTCCTAAGCCCCCCCCCAAGACCCTCTAAGAGCCCAGCGAGGTGGGGGGGGTCTCCTGGCGGCCCTTCGGTCTCCATGGCGACGGGCGCCGCCGCCCTTCTGGGAGGGGGTGGGTGGTGGGTGGGTTTGTTTTAGGGCCACGTGACCTCCGCGCACGTGACCGGCCGAGCCCTCCGGCGCGTGACGGGCGGAAGCGAAGCGGCGGCATGGAGGCGATCTCGGCGGGACCCCCGCGCCCCCCACTCTTCCTCCTCCTCCTCTTCCTCCTCCTCTTCCTGGGGGCGGCAGGTGAGGGTCTCGGCGGGGAGGGGAAGGGCGGGAGTGGCGGCGGCGGCTGCGGTCCGGCGGAGCGGGGGAGGGGGCTGCCCCCCCCCTTCCTAAAGACGCCCCCTTCCTCCTGGCAGCCCCCCGCCGCCCCCCGCCGCCCTTCCAGGAGCGCTTCTTCCAGCAGCGGCTGGACCACTTCAACTTCCAGAACTGCCGCAACCGGACCTTCCCCCAGAGGTACCTCATCACAGGTGAGCTGGGCGGGGTGTGTGTGTGTATGTGTGTGTGTCAGTGGGGAAGCCCACCCGTGGAGGTGGGGGGGGGGCAATGCGCCCCTCTTGCCCCGGTCTCTGAGCTTCAGCCTCTCTTGGAAAAGCCCCCCCCCCCGTCCCTCCCAGGGCAGGGGTTTCCAAGAGGGTCCACGCACAGCTGCCAGGGAGGGGGGTGGGGTGGGGTGGGGGGAGACAGTGGGTGGCTGCTGCTTCGTGACCTGTTGCCCTGGAGGGGTCTCCAGGCTGTGCAGGGAAGACCTCGTTTTGCAACTTCAGTTGGGAGTGGCCTCTCGGCTGCTGAGTGAAGCGATCCCCGCGACTGGGCTTACTGTCTTGAGCCAGCTCCCCTTCTCTGGGCGGACACGCCAGAGGGAAGGCTGGCCACCAGATGTCTCTCTCATCCTCATTGTGACTGCAAATGGTTGCTAAACGAGGTGGTCACTCAACGAGGACCTCCGCTTAGGGAAAATAAAAACCCAGCTTCTATCCCAGGGCAGTAACTCTGTTGAATTCTCCTGTATGGTGCAGTGTTGGTGCGGTGCTGGGGGTTTTCTGTTCAGTGTGTGGAACGTGTAGGGGTGTGTGTTTTGCGTTTATTTTCATGGTCCTGATGTGTTCGATTTCGTTGCACGAGATGCAATGACAATAAACTAAACTGCATTTTTCCTGACGCGGCTTTGTTCCGCAGAGAAGTTCTGGAAGCAGGGGGTCGGCCCCATCTTCTTGTACACAGGCAACGAAGGGGACATCTGGGATTTCGCCCTCAACACCGGCTTCCTGCTGGAGCTGGCAGAACAGCAGAGGGCCCTGGTGGTCTTTGCAGAACACGTAAGGGGGCCTGTCGGCTCTGGGCAGGGTGGGCAGGAGGGCCCTTGGAGGAGGGGCTGCCATGGCCCCAGGTGGTCACTGGCTGCTCTTCCCTCCGGTTTCTTTTAAGAGGTATTACGGGAAATCGCTTCCGTTCGGAGCAGCATCCCTGCAGGGGCCGAACGTCGGCCTGCTGAGCGTGGAACAGGCCTTGGCCGATTACGCGGTTCTCATCGCGTGGCTGAAGGAGCAGCACCAAGCGCAGGGCGTGCCAGTCATCGCCTTCGGGGGCAGGTGAGGGGGGCTTCCGGGCGGGCAAAATATTGGGTGCGCCAGGTGGCAATGAGGCCGTGATCCCTTTTAGCGAGCCAAAAAGTATGTGCTTCCTCTGTCCAGGAATTAGAGTTAGAATTCTTTTATTGGCCAAGTTTGCTTGGACACACAAGGAATTTGTCCTGGTGCAAATGCTCTCAGTGTCCATAAAAGAAAAGATACATTTGTCAAGAGTCAAGAATCATCAGGGACAGCGCTTAATAATAGTCACAGGGTGCAATAAGCAATCATACCAGGAAACAGTCAGAAAAAATCGTAAGGATACAAGCGACAAAGTTACAGTCATACACTCACAAGTGGGAGGAGATGGGCGATAACGAGTGATGAGAAGATTAATAGTAATAGTAGTGCAGACTTAGTAAATAGTTGGACAGTGTGGAGGGAATTATTTGTTTAGCAGAGTGATGGTGTTGGGGGAAAAACTCTCCTTGTGTCTAATTGTTCTGGGGTGCAGGGCTCTAAAAAAAATCCCCCAGCTTTCTCCTTCTTCTCTTCGCAGTTATGGAGGGATGCTCAGCGCCTACATGAGGCTGAAGTACCCCAACCTGGTGGCCGGGGCCCTTGCTGCCAGCGCCCCTGTGCTGTCCACGGCAGGGATTGGGGACCCTGGCCAGTTCTTCAAGGATGTCACAACAGTAAGACAAGGCACCTTTATCGGGGTTCCCTTTTTCCTGTCATTCCCGCCCAGTGAATCTGAAATAATCCAATTCGCTTTCTGGCTCAGTTTGGGAATTTCGTCTCATTTTATTTATTTCACTTATTTTCAAAATTACACATCTCTATTTACATTGTTCAACAGTATTGTGCCATTGATATTACATATGTTTACATTTAATATCTACACATAATATCTTAATATCTATACATTTATCCTTATTCCTACATTCTATCCACTTATGCTATCTATCCCATAGATAGTATTCGGATTCTTCCTCGTCTTTCAGTTCTATTGTAAGTTTGTCCATCTTGGCACATTCTAATGTTTTTCTGTGTTAACATCTCTTCGGGTGGTACGTTTTCTAACTTCCACCCCTGTACAAAAACTCTCCTCGCTGCTGTTATTCTGTGCAACGGGATGCATTGTGGAATTTCTTGCAGGACTTTCAGAACTACAGTCCAGAGTGTGCCAAAGCTGTCCGAGAAGCATTCAGACAAATCAAAGACCTCAGCCTCATTGGAGGTAAAGGAAGGAGCGAACACAAAGTGGGGGGGCGAACACATTTTAGGGTGTGAAGTTGTAGGTGGTTTGTGAGTGAACACGTTGCTGCCCTACACTTGACCAGGATGGTTGAAACCAGTGACTGCCAACCGGTGGGCTGGGGACCACTGGTGGTCCACGAGATAATTTTTGGTGGCCTGCAGAGAAATGTCACCTCCAAAGCAATTAATCCAGGCTGCGTGGGAACACAAGGCTGCGCCGCCCACATGGCCTGTGGGAACACAAGGCTTGTGTCGCTTGCATTGCAAACACGAGGTAGGGAGGGGGGGGGGGAAAGGGGGGGGGGGGGGAACTTGCCCCATTCACCCTACGTGCCTGGCCTAGCCACGGGGCTGCTTCTTTCTGCTTCTTTCTTCTCCTGCTTTTAGCTACACGCAAGGAAAGCAGCAAAAGTCTTTCTTTCTCTCCCCCAAACTCCACCAGAAATGTATCTTTGGGGCCCTGCAAGGCCTCCTGCTCCAAGAGGCAGCGCCAGCAAAGACTCATTTCTGGCAGAGTTTGGGGGAGAGAAAGAAAGACTTCTGCTGCTTCTGCTGCTTTCCTTGCATGAAGCCAAAAGTCTCTCTCTCTCTCCCTGAGAACGGAGCTGGAGACGGTATCCTACGATCCCAAATAAAGAAGGATCGATCGGTAGGAAAACAGGGTGGGGAATTTTCTTGCAGACTTTTTAAAGGATTTTCCCAGGGTCTCTGGTCTGCGGGATTTAAAATTATGAGTTTGGTGGTCCCTGAGGTCCAAAAGGTTGGCGACCCCTGGTTTAAACCAAAAAAAAAAAAATGCAGTTTATTGAACAGGCGGAAGATACCGATTGCAGCACCTTTAAAACTCAAGGGGCCCCTCTCCTTTGTCTTTCAGCCTACGGCAGAATCAGCGCGGAAATGGCTCTCTGCCACCAGCTTTCCAGTCAAGGGGACGTCAAGCAGCTGTTTGAATTTGCCCGGAACGCCTTCACCATGATGGCTATGATGGATTATCCTTACAAAATAGACTTTATGGGCCACTTTCCAGCGAACCCCGTCAAGGTAAGGGCTGAGCCTCCTTTGGGCGTGGAGCAGCTCGGTTTTTCAGTGTACCCAGCTTGGCAAAACTAACACACACACACACACACACCGGTTTTGTGGCGGTGTCCCTTTCATGCTCCCCGCCCAAGTTCTTTCACGTATCTTTGCCCAAGGTTGGTGAGTTTGCCAAAGGATAACCAAACCACGTTCCTTGCCCGCTCTTTCAAGAGATCCTAAAACCGATAAAGTGACGCTTCCCTTCCCCCAGAGGTCTTTAATGAATGAGCCTAGGGGAGGCAGTAATAGAGAGAAATTTGGGCTCCCCCCCCACCTTTTCCGTGACAATATAAGCATTTGGGCCAGAAAGCGTAAGATTAGTTATGGCATGTTTTTTAAGCTGGCATGAAACCCCAAACGAGCTAGAAAATAGACCCTATCGGGTCAGCTGGCAGGTAGCCAAACCTGTGTGTGTGTGTGTGCAGATGTGCTCAATTGCTTTTGATGGGGAGAAATTGACCCTGGGCACACCTGATATTTCAGGTTGGCTGTGAACTGATGTTGGCCAGCAAGGACCCAATCCAAGGGCTGGCAGCTCTCTCTGGTGAGTAGACCAGTTTCATTCTGCCAACGCTGCATTTCTCCAGGGGTGGGGTGGGGGCCTCGGAACAGAATCATCCCCAGTTCGCCTCCCTGAGGGGCCACCCCAGGAAAAAAAAAAACCCAAACTGCTTTGCTCCAGCTATTTACCGCCGCCGTCCGAAGGCTCCTCTCTCTCGGGTTCTCCCGGGCTTGCCATCCCGGGCGGCAGGTGAACGAAGCAGCAAGCGTGATCCGCCAGAGTCCGGGGCAGGCAGCCCACCTTGACCCAGGTTCCCCTGCTGGGGTGGCAGACCCAGACGCCGTCCTCTTTGCTCCTCCGCCGCAGAGACCCTCCGCCCATCGCGTAGAGTTGAAGCTGGCTGTGGGTGAGGCTGAAGTGGCAGAGGTCGATGGCCGGCAGATGGAGCCGAGTCCATTGGTCGCTGACGGGGCAGTAGTACTCCACTTCGCTCACGGGGACCCACTCCTGGCCCTACAAAGAACCAAAGCTCAGGGCGGTACCGGAGGGCACCGCCAAGGACACCCGGCTGAGCCTCGGGGAGTCCCGAGCCCAGAGAGGGACGGAGCAAATGCCACCTACGCTGGCCCGAGCCCTTCCTCCCAGGCAGAAGATGCGGTCTCCCACCGTTGCCATGCCGTGATCGCAGCGGGCAAAAGCCATCGGCCGGTTCCTGACCCAGCAGCGCAGGCGGGAGAGGTAGCTGTACATGGTGCTCAAGGTCTGGCCCTCGGCGAAGCCTCCTGTGCCAAAGGAAACGGGCCGGGGTTCCTTCAAGGCCTGGGAAGGGGGCTGCCCCAAACCCAGAGTAGCCAGTCTTTGCCCAGGAGGGGACCCTTCCCCACCTGAGATGTACAAGAGGCCTCCGTGCGTTGCCCCCGCGTGGTCAGCCACCGGCACCGGGAAGGCCGGGAGGGGCCGCCAGGCATTCTTGGCAAGGCGGTACTCCTCAGCCGTGTCGGTCGGCATCCCCAGAGGTGCTCCGCCCCCCACAGCCACCAGCCGCTCGTTCAGGGCCCCGGCGTAGAAGCGAGTCCTGGGGACCAGCATGCTGGCCAGCTGCAGCCAGGTCTTGTGGCAAGGGTCAAACCTGAACACCTGGAGAGGGAAGAGGGAAGGCTGCCTTGCCGCCAGGAACTCTATGATGCTGGCAGTGAAGAAGCAGGGACATCGACTCCCCCACCCAAGCGCCAGCTGTCTTTGGGTCGCTGCAGTTGTCTTACCTTCTTGGAAGGCTCCTGGCCGGTCGGATCAAAGCTCTCCTGGCCCCCCATCACGAAGACGAAGTCGTGCAGGACGGCCACACAGTGGTTGTACAGTGGCCCACTCAGCTTCCCGATAGCCATCCACGAATGGCAGTGCCGGTCAGCCGCCCAGACGTCGCCGCAGACGGCGTTGTCTGCTGATCTGCCTCCCAGCACCATCAGTGCCTCGTTCCTGTGGCGCACCCGGGAGCCCTCGCTGTGGAGAAGCGGCTGCACGTACGGCTGGCTGTGGTAGTCCAGGGCTTCTTGGAGGTACCGGCGGCAAGCAGGTTCAGTTCTCATGACGGGCGTTTCCTGGACGAACCTCTGCAGGTCTGGGAGCGGAATGGAGGGAAAACGGATGTGGCCCAGGACCTCGGCTGCATCCTCCTGGCGGGAGCCGTTGTGCTCCAGCCAGCAAACGGCGGCCTGAAAGAGCTGCAGTTCGCTCAGTCCCTGGGTGTCTCCTCCGTCCAGCATTTCGCAAAGCGTTGCCCTGTCCAGCTCCTTCAGCTGTGCAGGGTCCTTCAGGAGGTGTCCGCAATGCTTGCCGACCCAGCGCTGCACTTTTAGCCTCAGTCCTTCTGGGCCGAGCCGCCGAGCGAGGCGAAGGATGGGCAGGCAGGTGTGTCGGTCCAGGGCTCCTTCCAGGAACCGGAAGGAGAGGCGCATCACCTCGCGCACCAGCAGCACCTCAGCTGCCCGGAAGACCTCCTCGACCGTCTGCAGAGTCAGCTCCAGCCGGTTGGAGTAAAGGAAAGACAAGATGCCCTGCAGGCCCCTGGCGGTCACCGGTGGCGCCAGCTTGAGTGGGGTTGCCCGGCCGGCCGCCTCCCTGGCGAAGTGCGTCTTGCAATAGCTGCTGGCTACGGCAAGGATGGCTCTGTGGGCAGCGAAGGAGGCCCCCTCGGCCTCCAGCACCACGTCACACAGGGCATTCTGGGAACGGAGGTTCTGGAGCCCCTCTAGGAGCTTAGGCAGGTAGGTGTCTGAGCTGAGACTCTGGCCTCCTGCCACTTCACGCTCCCCAAGAGGCGCCTCTCCAGAGGCCATAGCTCAGAAGCGGCCCTCTCCCTGCCCTCTGCCCATGGGGAGCGCCTCTGGGGTTTCCGCTTCTCTGGACCCGGCCGTGGGATGGCCGGCCCTTGCTAGCTGTGCTTTCGCTCTTGTTTTTATGGGCTACCAGGAGAGCAGGACAGCTGATCCCTCATCTCCAAGGCAGCAGCCACCAATCTCCTCCCCTCTCTCCCATTGGTTGGTGTCCACCAAGGTGCGGTGGGTCTCCCTCCGTTTCCTGGTCTGGCCAAAGTAGGAAAAGAGGCAGGTCCAGGCTTGTTCCCTGCTTGGAAGAAAACCTGGCTTCTCCTGCTGTTCCTAGGATTTATACCTCGGCTGACGAGAAAGAGGTTTTTAACAAGGGATATTTGCAATTTCTCTGCCCAGCCACCAGCAAGAGTTTTGCCTTCGGCCGTAACAAGCAGAGCTCCCCATTGTACCTGGCCAAAAGGATTTGTCCCCTTTCTGTGTCCTGAATCACATGCTGAAGCCTTAAGCAACTGTGTGTGTGGTGTATGTGGTGTGTGTGTTGACTAAACAACCTCCAACACTTTCAGTGTTTCCTCCAAGGGGGGTTTTTTGTTCTGGCTTTGTGGTTATTTTAGCTGCGTCTCTCCCAAAGAATTTTAATCTTGAGACTTTGGAAGCAGGATGAGCTTTTCCCCTCTGGCTGAATGTCTTTTAAGGTGGGCTTTGTAGTTGCTCGGTGGGTCCACCAGAATGACTGCGGTTTACGAAACCACCTCCCCCTCTGCCTCTGTTGAGCACCTAAAATGGACCCAACCTCCTCCTCTTGCTTCCACCAGGAGTATTTTACAACTCCACGGGGACTGAAACGTGCTTCGACATTTACGAGATGTACCACAAATGTTCCGATCCAACAGGCTGTGGCTTAGGCCCCAATGCTGAAGCTTGGGATTATCAGGTAGGTTGGGGGAAGAGCTGGCACACCTGGGCTGGCCAGGTACGGAGGCGACTGCGGGGGGGGGCGGGGGGGAAACTGCCATTGAAGATATCGAGGCATTTAGAGATGTTAAGAGGGTTTTCTTATTAATCCGTTCTTTTTTTATGTATATCCTAAATAAAATAGAAATTATAATTGACTAAACAAAAGGATATGAGAAAATAAAAAATATGGCTCATGGGAATTTTATAATGAGAATAATATAATTAAAAGTAGGGGAATGAAACTATTTAAATTATAGGAGTAAAATTTGGCTATGGGGAAATAAAGAAAACATATGAAATGGTTATATGAATAGCGTTGGAATAAATATAAGATATATTGTAGATTGAGGAATATAGCACGTGGATCCTGAATACAATAATTTTATTTTAATTTTATTATATGTGTGTATGTATGTATCTATATAGAATGTTGGTCTTGAGTTAATTAATGAAGGTAATGTATAAGGCAAAATAGGTGGTAAGCTGAAAATGGAAATAATAGGGGATAAAGAATTGGAAATATATGTGAGAAAATAACTTTGATCTTGAATGAATTGAAATCTAAAATGGAAATTTATTTAAAGATTAGTAGAATGGATAATAATTTGATGTGATATTAAATAAGAAATTTGGAAATGCAAGTACGACTGTGTATAAACGTAATCTGGAATCACGTTGCTCATGTGAAGAGCTGTGCAAAATATAAAAATAAAAAAACTTTTTAATAATTAAAAAAAAGAGGATATCTAGGCGCATTTGATCGCCAGGGATGGAATGGAAAAACATTTCTTAAGTTTGTGGCCTTTCTTACTTGCAAGGTTGCCTGAACCTTGGGGAGAGGGCTGGGCTGACGCAGTGTAGACAGGGCCCATCCACTCCCCTTACGGTTGCTTCTTGCGCCTCTCGGTTCCAGGCTTGCACCGAGATCAACTTAGCGTTCGACAGCAACAACGTGACCGACATGTTTCCGGAACTCCCCTTCACTGAGGCCGCCCGGGAAGGCTACTGCTTCCGCAAGTGGGGGGTTCGGCCCCGGCCATCGTGGCTGCGCGTCAACTTCTGGGGCGGCGGTGAGCAGGGTTGGGATTTCAGCTTGCGACGGGGTCCCTGAAGGGTCCCCTCTAGGCGCTTCGTGGTCTTGCGGGTGGAGGGCGCGACTGTGAGGCTTAAAAAGGGGGCAAGCAGGACATGGTCCCAGGTTGACAGGTACCCTGTGGAAGGAGGGTCTTTCTGGGCCCTTGAAGGGGCGTCTTTTTGTCGGGATACGACCTGCGATGGGAGTCTGAACCTGGGACCTCCTTGTGGGAAAGGCCTTGCTGGTCGAAAGGACCTTCAACTTTTGTGCACTTCTATCATTCAAACCTTGCTGTGTTCTTTTTTTGACAACTGGCAGACCTGGCTGCTGCAAGCAACATTATCTTTTCCAACGGAGACCTGGACCCCTGGGCATCCGGCGGGGTAAGTACCTGCTCGGCGTTCCTGGGCTCGGCTCAGATCTACCTGGACCCGTTACCTGCTGTTCCCCGCTCCCTCCCTTCCCTGAAGAGTTCTGACTTTCTGATGTTGCCGTTTCAGGTGAGGAAGAACCTGAGCTCCTCCGTGATCGCCATCACCATCAAAGGGGGCGCCCATCACCTCGACCTCCGGTACGTTTGGTCCCCCGGCCTTCTTCCCCAGCTCCTGGGGTTGTAAGGGCTCCCTTCTCCCCTCTCTCTGGCCGGGGAGCAGGCTTATCGGTGAGGAAGGGCTGCCTCCCTATCTGACCTCCCCTCTCCGAACTGCTCCCGGCTTCTACCAGGAAGGGCTGCTGTTGCCGTAGTGCAGGCCGAGGGGCTGAGTTAGGGAGCCCTTTGGTCTCTACCGGGGACGCTCTTCAGAGGCCTCTGGTGGTTATTCTAAGGTGCTTTTTTTATCCCCCAGAAATCAAATCGACATTCTCGTTTAAGAAATCGGATGATTCACTGCCCCACACCTTTGTTTTTTAAAGCTTTCGAGAATTTTACAAAAGTTTCCGAAAGAGGAAGCGCGGTGATTGCGTTCCCTGGAAGGGAGGAGTGCTGCTACAGCAAGCAAACACACCTTAAAAGCCACTTGGAACTACTCCGTTCCTGTGGTTGGATAGTTGCCCTCTGACAAGCAAGCAGGGCTTAACTTCACTGGGCTTAATTTTTCTTTTCCCCCCCAAAAAACAGGAGCTCCAACCCAGCTGACCCCGCCTCGGTCAGGGAAGCTCGGCTACAGGAAGCCAGGATCATCCGGGGCTGGGTGGAAGCGGCCACCAAGTAGCATCCGAGTTGCCAGCCGGTGTCTTTTAACAAAAGCCGCCACCCCCCCCTCCCGGACCGCTGGGCGTGAAGAGAGGGGGACCGTAGTGTTCTCCTTAAGCAGTGCCACTCTCATGCTGCAGTGCCGAAGAATAAGGAATAAAGTTCCTTCCAGGGGACCTTCCTGGGTTGGGAGGTTCATGGAGGCTGGGATGAAACTGGCCTTTTGTTCACCTCTTTCCAAGAAAGGATCTGGGAACTTGAGGGTGGCGGGGAGAAGAAGAGGGAAGAAGAGTTCAGACTTTATGCTAAGATGCACTGAAGATTGGTCATGCCAAGTCAGGGGCCCTGAAAGCAATTGGAGGGCTATCCTGAGTTGTACCTTCAGATCATCTAGTCAGGTCCTCCACCACCCTGGTAGAAACCTGGAAGAGTCTCACACACACACACACACACCAAGGAAAAACTCTTCTTTCCTTCGCCAACTTGGTTCACTTGGAGACCCTACGCGGGAGAGTTCTACCCGTGTTGCTATCAAGGGATGATGTGCCGCAGGGCTCGAGCCCAGGGTGAGTTTCACTTCCTGGCACCTGTCTTCAAAGGGGTATCCTTCCATCCTTCAACCTCTCACGCAAAGGTTTCTGGCAGGACAGAAACATGTAAACAGTCAGCGGCTCAGAAAAAAAAAACGCGGGGTCTCAAAATAAATTGGAAGTTTATTAAGGTGGAGTAGAATTCTGCAGATTGAGCTTCCCAGCCAAAATCACTTTTTCAGATCGCTTTCATTTTCAGAGATTTCTTCCCCGCCCCGTTTTGAACCGTTTGCACGGTCGCAAAAGAAATCAGTTCTACTTCACAAATACTTTGGACCAGATCGCACCACAAGATTTCAGCAAGTCTGTCTCTTCTTGGGAGAGGGGGGAAAAAAAGGATAAACCGAAAGTAATTATGTAGAGAGAAGGATGGGAGCACACAAGGGTGCTCCTCACAATAGCCAGCTTTCTCTACCAAGTTAGGCTCCCCTCACTTCCGGTCCGCTTACAGCCAACGATCCGGTTGTGCCTGATCATTTAAGACTCCGTCCTCTGCTCTTAAGACATGAGATGAACTGGCCATGATAAAGACGGCACGAAAATCACGCGGAATGAGTCCCCATTTGGCTGCGCAAGACAAACATAAAAACAGAGGTATGTTTTCCTGGCAGATTTCTCTTGAACAAATTTCCAAACTAGGATGACATTCCAGCCTCCACGGACAACGTGAGGCAAGTGGAAATTCAGGGTTGTGCACCGACAAAGCAGCAAAGCAAGTCTGCACTGGGAGGGTGTGTGTGTATATGTGTGTGTATGTGTGTTTGTTCAGCATCTAACTCTGAGAAGGAGCCAGGAAACAAACATCCTAGGTGGCTTGTTTGAAAGAGGCTCATGAGAACTGCAGGTGGTTGGTGGGTCTGCAGGCTCTGATTTGCTGGAAGAAATGCTCGCATTTGGGGACGTGACCAACCCGAAACTTCTCTTCCCCCTTCGAAACCAGAAGGCACCAGTTCAAAGTAAAGTGTCGGCCTCCCAAAACGGGGGTTTTACAGTATGGCTTTTAAATTCCAGGGTCTATTTAAACAGGAAACTATACAATAGTGCCTTGCAAGCCCCCCACCCCAAAACAAAATGCCATTGAAAAGACCATGGCGACAGTGAAGTTCTCCAGCAGTCCAGAGAGACAGTAAGAAGAGCGGGAAGAAATCTTCCTGATTGTGACACTGTTGTGCGTCGGCTGTTCCGAGCCTTTGATTCTCTCCCTCTCTTGAGCCTTGTGATATTGCAGGGGGCAGGAAGGGAGTCTGGGAGATCTGAGCAGCTCTTGTCTTTGATCTTTACCACGCCATCCACCCCTCGGGTAGCACCAAACGCGTCTTGAGTAACATGCACGTCGTTGGGACGGGGAGAAGAAATGGGATCCCCGGTCCTTCTGCACCCACTTTCTCGCAGAAAACGATCCCGCCCGGGATTTCTGCCGCAGCGCCAGTGGTGCCATGAACTCATGCAGTTCCTTTCTGTGCCAACAGGGGGGGCAGTGCCGGTCTGCCTGCCTGGCCCTCTTCTCCCGGGCGGGGATTTAAAGCAGCCGTTCAACGTCCCCCAGGTAGGAGCAGCAGCAGCGAGCATCAATGGCACAATTAGGGAAGCCCCCAAATACCCCCCAAAAATCAGTCCCACCAAAACGGGGGGCAGGGGGGAGATTGTCCCATGAATCTTTCTCTCTGCCCCCACTTTAAAGTGCTGAGATAGAGCGACCGGGAGAAGAAAGGAGGGAGGGACACGGAAGCTAGAACGAACGGGGGGAAAAGACAGAGAAAGGAAGGACTGGCACGGAAAGGCAGACCCTGCCCACGCCGGAGAGCCTGGGGAAGGGGCACCACCTCTTATCCTGCCTCGGAGACAGACAAAAAAACCACCACCACCGAGCGTAAAGCGGAAGCTAGCGAGCCTTCGTGCCACGTTTCGGTGTAAACGTATCGTGAGTTCACACCTTTAGTGAGCGGTTTCCTCCGTGGCTGGTAGTTCAGAGCCGCTGAGCGAAAGTTGGTTAGTCGCTTGGCTTTTTAAGCCCAACTTTCCAGGGAGAGCTTTTTCAAGCGCGAGAGGCGTGGCAGGAATCCTAGTGGGCAGAATCCGCTCGGGGGGGGGTAAGGATTGGGACCTGCTCCTTCCTTGACCTCCAGCTCCTCCCCCACCCCCCAATATGCTTTCAAAGGTCAACCTCCCCCTGGGGCCTCCAACCTGGAAGAGGAACTCATGCAGGAAGCAGTTTTCGGAAGGATACCTGAGCCAAAACATTATCCATATTATACACACACAAATTCCTACATAGATAACGTCCTGGTTGGGGTTTTTTTTTCCCCTTTCCCCATAATTAAAATTTTCACATTTTTCTCCCTGCATTGCTGCAGATAAGTTAAGAAAATATATATATATATATTTACCATCCCATCCAGCTTCTCCCCCGGTTTGTAACAGGGCACAAATTCCTCCCCCTCGGGGATCAGGAGAGCAGTAACACTTGTTTTCGAGGGGAGGGCTTGGAGAGCATCGTCCCTTTCCCGCCCCCCCCCACCTGCAGCCGTGGAAGGAAGACACAGCCCCAGGGACGTTGGCACAGGGCCGCCCCTTTCCCTCCTGAAGGGCCTCTCCCGCCGAGAGGTGGAGCGGAGCGGAGCTAGTTTTCGGGTGCTCCCTGGGTCGAAGCCAGCCCCACGCTCCCCACTTGTCCGTCCCTTGCTAGGGTGCCCCTTTTCCGGAGAGGAGGCAGTGGTTCCGGAGACCCCCCCCCTTCCCTCACGTACAATTCCTCCAGGAAGCCCCTTTCACCAGGAATGTCGCTCCGCCTTCCACACCCCTCCCTTGGGCTCCCAGGAATCGGGCCTGCTGACGGCTTCGGTTTATGCCGACGGCCTGATGGGGAGCGGGTGGGCCTCCGTGTTGAAGACATACTGGTCCAGGTTGATCAAGTTGACGTCGTCCGAAAAAAGCAAGAAAAAATACTTGAGGGTTTCGCCCAGGAAAAAGCTCTCCATTTTGTCTCTCGGCTCCGGGTTGCTGGGGCTCTGGACGTTGTCGATGGACGTGTAGCCTCCAGTCGGGACCTGGGTGGAAGAACACATGTGTGAAGTCAGAAGGCCACCGAGGTTCACCATTGTTAGGATACGTACAGAATAACCCTTGAGTAACAAGGATAGACGCACATGGAAACGTTTATGGGAGTAGTTATGAATAATTATTCAGCCACACTGAACTGAGTTAAAGTTTAAGAAATAGCACAGTCCAATAAACGGTCCAGGTCATATACGTTTTACAGTCGAAAGAATATCCAACTACAAAGTCTTCTTACCGGTTGCCTTTGTCATTTCCAGTAAACAAAAATATCACAAGCATAAGCACAGCTTAGATAGCAAGAGAATGTCAGAAAGTCAGAGATACAGCATGTCAGAGAGAGCAAGCCATGATCTCTAGCTCCCTCTTGTGGTAATTCACAATACAATCAACCAATCGGAACATAGTACAAATCAATCACGCCTGGCCTGCCCCAAAGCTCAGACTTACCCGGGTGTACTGGTTGAAGCTCTGCAAGATCTCCCAGCCCCAATCCTGATACTTCTTATCGCCGGTGAATCGGTAGAGGTAGAAGAGACTCTCCACTGTCTCGGGACGCAGCAGATTGTGCCTGTCAGCCGTCTGGGCAAAGAAGAGCGGAAAGGGAACTGAAAGGTGTGGCTACCCCGTGGGTGACTCGGATGCCCGCCTCATTC